ATGGCTGCCCTATTTTTAGCCAGGTCTTATGGGGGAGGAATGGGTCGTCAGAGTGAGGTCAGGCTTTTGTCGGCTTCCCCCTTTCTGCCTCCACCTCTGAGCTGGTGGAGCACAGCCGAGGAGGTTCATCTCCTCTGGGATTCTCAGAGGAGACTCTGTGGTCCTTGCTTCTTGCTTCTCCTCAAAGGAAGTACATGGCAGCAGAGTGGGAGCAGTGTGGGGGTTATTTCGGAGGGTTCCGGTCAGACTTAGAAGGGAAGCAACTCTACCAGTTTCTGGGTCTCCCCCCCACCATCTCTTTTCAAGTCCTCCTGTAATGTCTCAGGAAAACTGAGATTAAATCATCCTTTTAAAGTTACTTAGAGGGGCACCTGGGTGACTCAGGTGGTTGAACGTCTGACCTCTGCTCAGGTCACGATCTCGCAGTTTTTGAGTTTGAGCCCCCATGTTGGACTCCTAGCTCATTGCTGTCAGCGTGGAGCCTGCTTCAGATCCTCTGTCTACACCCCCCCCCCGCCCCGCCCCAGCGCTTCCCCCGCTTGTGTTCACTCTCTCTCCTTCAAAAATAAATATTAAAAAAAAAGTTACTTAGACAGCAGTCTTGAAAAAAAAATAGGGGTGCTGGATGGCTCAGGCAGTTAAGTGTTCAACTTGTCATCTTGACTCAGGTCATGATCTGGGGGTTTGTGGGATCAAGCCCTAAGTGGGGCTCTGTGCTAAAAGCACAGAACCTGCTTGGGATTCTCTCTCTGCCCTTCCCCTGCCTGCACTGTCTCTCAAAATATATAAAATAAACATTAAAGAAAAAAAAAAGTCTTGGATTTTCTATAAATCGTTTGTTTAGATCTCAGAAGTCCTATTTGGATATATATTTTTTTAAATTGTTATTTATTCAATTCATTCATGCAAGTAATCTCTACATCCGACGTGGGACACACATGTTCTTCCAAGCTTTCAGCAAAGCTAAAGGTCAACACCAGTATTGACCTCTGGCTGAATTCATTTGGGTGACCCATTTTTGCTTGGCTGGGTGGAGTTAATAATTGGGTGTCCCTTCTCCAAGATGCCACAGCTCATTCAGTCCTAATTGTCTCACACCTGGCTTTCTTCACACATTTATGTGAGCTGCCTGCCCTTTGACATCTCTGAGGATCTGACCCTACCCCCAATTTATCTGCCCTTCCCCCCCCCCCCCCCGCCGGGCACCACAGGTAACTGTGATAGATAGGGCTGGGAATCATCAGCACCTTTGAGTAATGATTCGTCTGTCATAGGGGTTCTCAATTCTGACGGAGAGACAATCACCAGGGGGCTGTTAAAAATAACCAATGTCTGGGAGCACCTTGGGGGTTTAGTCGGTTAAGCTTCTGAGCTCAGGTCATGATCTCATGGTTTGTGAGTTCAAGCCCAGCATTGCCCTCTCTGCTGTCAGCACAGATCCGGCTTTGGGTCCTCTGTCCTTCTCTCTCTGCCCCTCCCCTGCTCTTTCTCTCAAAAATAAACATTTAAAAAAACAACAACAACAAACCAGTGCCTGGGATATCTATAGTCCTTCCCTGTGGGAATATACAGTTTCTTGGGGGGAAGGATACTTTTGTTTCAGATGGTGGTGTTTTAATGAAAATTGTTTTATTTGAATTTGGAACCAGTAGCTTGTCTGATGTTAATGGTTTCCCTTTTGTGAAATTCCAAATTATAATAGAATTTTTTCTTGCAGTGTGACTGGCAAGCTCCATGCTGGCAGTGAATGAAAATAAGACCTTTCTCCTCTATTTCTTAAACTATATGCAGAGCTCTGCATTTTATGGTCTATCAAGTCTATCCAATGGAAAGGCCCTTATGTTCCCATATTCCCATGAAATGAGTGATTTTGCCCAGTCAAGGATCAGGCAGAGATCTGGGGCAGAGGGAGACCTCTGTGTGTCTAAAGGATATATAAGCTTTAGGCAAGTCCAAACCAGGTTCTGAGAAGCCTCCACCCAGAAGTGCATATTTGGAGAATTGGATCCAGGTTGAAACAATGAAGACTTGATGTCCCTTTTTTCACCTGCCAGCACACTTTCCCGTTGTAAGTGTTACATCCAGGATTTGGTCTGACTTTTTCTTTTTTTGCCACAAGTGTATGATTTTATCTCCTAAATTTAATCTAATTTCTTTTAGATCTCCTGCCCAATTTGCAGAAAATTTATCTTGGTCAGAAGTAACTCAGGTTTCTTTCATCAATTCCAGGTTCCTTTCGTCCTTTCAACCCTAGAGTTGCTTCTAAATTCTGGGGTATTTTTATAGAGCTCAGTCTGGAGATTGGAGTGACAGAGTATGGTGATGACTGTCATGGGCCCAGCTTGTCCCACCTGGTCCTCAGCTGCCCATCCAGTCCCATCAAACTGTGTTGCTGCCTAGGAATCTTCCAGATCTCTCTCTACCTGAGCTAGTGCATACCATTCCCAGGACACCAGACAATTTTAGCTGTTCTCTCTAGGGGCTGTTGGCCAGAAACCCATTTTAAGCCTCACGTCAATGACTCTCACATACTAGTGCATCCCAAACTTGAACGTGCACACTAGACATATGGAATCAAGGTAAAATCAAAGTTCTGACTCCGTAGGTCTGGATTAGGGCAGAGCCTGAGATTCTGCATTTCTAACAACTTGCCAGATGGTGTCTAGGCTGCTGGTTCTTTGAGTAGCAAGGTTGTGGAGGACAGAAGGGCTCTTGGTGTAATGGACTTGTCAGACTCAATCTCTTCTATTTGGAGGAAGTGATTTGATAACAGGGAAGGATTTGGTTAAATGGCTGCCAATGCACTCCCTTTTTCTAGCTTTTCATTTTTTTTCATTTTTTTCTTTTTTTAGTAATCTCTACACCCAATGTGGGGCTTGAACTCATGACCCTTAGATTAAGAGCAGCATGCTCTTCCTTCCAACTGAGCCAGCCAGGTACCCTGATTTTTTTCTTTTTTTTTTTTAAGTAAACTCTACCCACAATGTGGGGCTCAAACTCACAACCCCAAGATCAAGAGTTGCATGCTCTTCCAGCTGAGCCAGCCAGGTGCCCTAGCTCCTAATTTCTTAGGGAATGAATAATCACTGTTTAAAAGAATGAAGGAACAGCACTTCCTTAAGTTGCTCTTAGGACCTTTTTTACCCAGGTAGGCTCTGTTAGAATGCTGTCACTCTTGGCTTTCCCCATGCACTCTATCTGGAAGGAGAAACAAGAGGATGACATGTCCCTCACCCCCATGATCCTCTCTTCTTGGCAGTCATACCCGTGTGTAATACCCCTTGTCTTGTGTGTGGACTAATTTCCTTACATTTAATGAAGAAAATACAGCGGACGTTTTGGGCTGTCACTTCCAAGATCAGTTTCTAAAACAACTGATTTCCTTCTTGGACACATGCTGTTTCTCAGATCATTTGTACTTGAGGGGATGCGAACTGACATTTTATGAGCAGCCCTATGGGGAGGACCACATGATGCAGCAAGAAACCCAAGCCCTTGGGGCACCTGGGTGGCTCAGTCAGTTGAGTGTCTGACTTTGGCTCAGGTCATAAGCCGGTTCACCAGTTCAAGCCCCATGTCAGGCTCTGTGCTGACAGCTCAGAGCCTGAAGCCTGCTTCAGATGCTGTGTCTCCCTCTCTCCCTGCCCCACCTCTGCTAACACTGTCTCTCTCTCTCTCTCAAAATAAATAAACATAAAAAAAAAAAGAAAGAAAGAAAGAAAGAAAGAAAGAAAGAAAGAAAGAAAGAAA